AAAGTTTGATTGCAGAAAACACGTCTAACAGTCTTCTTTAAGAAAAATAGCTTATTTTAGTATAAAATATACCTAAAATGTCTCTCTTCTATGAAATAGCATTTCTTTTCTGACCAAATTGAAAAATTTATAGTTTGTATTTAATAGTTTTATGTACATATACTGACAAGAAAGCAGTGTAATAAATATAAAAGCTTTTTGATGATTTTACTGCAAATTATTTTCATTACTTTACTAAAGAATTCTATATGAAAGGTAATATATATATGTACCTTTCATATAGAATAGGTTTTATAGGTGATTTTTGTAATATATACATGTTTACAAGCATATGAAAGTTGTAGTTTCTGATGAAAGGTACACATTCATATGAGAGATTTAAGCTTCAAATTTTTAAATAAATGCAGATTTTATTAATTTATTTATTTGAATTTCAGTTGTATTGCAGTTGATATTTGAATTTATAGTGCCGAAGGGTAGGAAAAGCACGGATTTTCGTGCATCAAACTAGTAACGAAATTGAAGTGGTACATCTGAAGCGTTACGTCACTGGATCGAGCTAATAGGTAGCAAGACTTATTCCAAAATCAATTAAAAGTCTAAACTGAGACATAATATCAAATGTCCCGAAAATGGTTTCCAGCAAGTGTAGGTAGATATCACTTGTTTGACTCTCAGAAACAAAATTTCACTTTTAAGTTTGAAGTATCATTAGGCTTTTTGATGCTAGAGTCGTGAAAAGTGTGCAGTGCATGCCTTGTCGGGATTCGAACTCTGTACCTCCCGAACGAAAGTCGAGTTTGTTGCCAGTTACACCACGAAAGTATTCGGAAATGATGGAGAAAATACCTTATATACTCCCCTTTTTAAAGGCGACTGGGAATGAGGGGACCCAATCGCCATATGTGGTGGCGAGTTATCCTACACCACCTTTTAATTCGGCGCCACTGTGGAGTCATTAGATATTTTTTGGAATCGGAGACAGAAAAATGGGGAGCGCCCTCGTCGAGATTCGAACCCCGGACCTCTCTCGAATACGAGTAGAGTTTGCTTCCAGTTACACCATGAAGGCATGCGGGAGGACAAATTATATTCTCTTTAAATTATTTTTTTATTCAGGAAATTAATTACATTCGAACTAGAATCATTTTTCATTTTATACAGGCCCACTAATATCTGAGTGATTAAGACAGCCGAACGTTGATACTTTAACCAGGATTTGAATCTCGGAAGACGAGCTGGCTGCATGGATGTTTTCATGGTTAAGCGCACGTGCAACGTGGCAAATTACTTGCCACGTTGCACGTGTTTTGCCCTAAATAAATAAGCTAGACAACCACTATTTTATATGTAAATATTTTAACTATAATTTCGGATCTCCTACAGTCGAGCACAATTCTGTAGTCTGGTTTATCGAATCAAAAATAAATAAATAAAATAAACAATTTTTTAAAAATCTGAAATTATTCGAGATTTACAGTCGCCTAAAAGGAATCTTTTAAAGTTTAATATGCTTTATTAGTAGTAATTAATTAGTGCTTTATTAGTAGTAATTATCAATAAAGTCGAAATAGCTATAAGTGAAGAAAGTATATAACGCCATTCTGTAAATATATCTAATGTTTTTAGTCAGATATATCATGATTTAAATGCATTTTAAATCAATCAGACTGAAAAAGGTAAAAAGTAATGTTCTTAAGAACTGCATCTACTGCTTTTAAATACTCGTAGTTTAGTTTATTAATTAAGGAAAGACAGATTAAATGGGAAAGATTATATCTTACATATTGTCCAATGGTAGAAACTCGAATGAGGCCTCCCAGACAGTATAATGGTTAGGGGAGCCTGACTGCGATACCAAAGAGCCCGGGTTCGAATCCCGGAAAAGGCAAGGATGTAAAGTTCTCTGTATCTTCATAGGAGGTAACGGTGGCTGCCTATTAGGCGTCTTCACAATAAAATGGTCACCGATTCTGGCCTTAGTAGTAGCCAATGTCGTTATAGGAAAGTGTCCGCCATTTGTAAAAAAGAAACGAATGAAAAGCGAAATAAAGCGTTTCAGTGGAAAATCATGCTCAGAGACCATTAACCTTCTGGGTTAAAAATAAATATAAATAAATAATAAATTAAAAAAAATCTTAAAGCTTTATTTACAATAAATAATTTTAATATGCGCATATCTTTAGAATTTTCGGATATACAGTCTCGCACGCTGGAGACAAAAGTGTTTTTGTTTTCGCACAGTGTTGCCATTGCTCGCTTTAAAATCCTTGAGTTTGTTAATCAAAAATTCGCTTAAGTTTTACAAAATATAAAATCGGTAACTAAACAAATTCCAAATGTGGGTTTTGAGGTGCCTATATTCGGGTGGAAACGTACATTATTCAAAATTTGATGGCTATAGGCACCGCCGTTTTATCAGAATACGAGAAATATACATACATTTATGTAGATTCTTCATTATTTGATTTATTTAAATATAATACAGCGCTATAATATTTGGTGGCAACAGTTTGAAAAGTGAACCGACATTTAAAGTTCTCAATGCAAAATGCCGAAACGAAAATAGCTTTTCTGGGCTAACGACCTTTGGGCTAAAAAGATCGCATTTATTGAAACATTATAGATTGAAATATGGAAAAGTTTACAATTCTATGGCTTAGAAGTTTTTTCAACATATTTCTTTTTTAAGCGCCGCTTGGGGCCAAATTCGACTTTTCTTGTTTTGTATTCAGTGCCGCTTCCTTGTGTAAGCAATTAGAAAGTCGCGGTAGTGGGGCGGGAATCCATATTTCACGTTTTTTTTCCCCAATTTATCTGTTATTTTCGCACATGAAAGGCGTCAGATTCAGACCATGATATAAAATAACATGTTCTTATGAGTGGAAGATAAATGTTCAAGTAACGCCTCTAGATTTTTTCTTTTTTTTCGCCTTTGTCATGTTATGAAACATAACGAAAGGGGGAAGCTAGTAATCATAAAAATTTTTTTAATTACTTCATGTAGTATTTTCCTGAAGTAAACTCTTAACAGTAAATAGACATCGTCTTGCTCTTCAATCCAAATCTTGCCAAAAGCATTATTACCAGTTCGTCATAAAAGAATTTCCAGAGGGGATAGCTTATTTCATTTTAAGATTTCCTTGTCCTCCTTAAACGGGTTTGTCACACAATTTCATTCGGGATCACTAGAAGTTTAGCTTTCTCAAGCCGTAATTATGAGGTTAACATCTTTCGTAACGAACGGAAAACGAAGTAGACCACACAAATCTTTCACACGTGCGAATGCGGCGGATTGTGTTTCTTAACAATGAGGTGGTTCTGCACAATGCAGTTATCAATTATTTATGCATAAACAATGCAAAATTGCTTTTCTTAAACGTGCATACTGGTATACCTATTCCGTTTTTCTTGAATTCTTGGTGTTTCACTGAAGGTCTTAGCAAGATTTATGCTATTTAGAAACGTGTAGTAATTTATTTTATTAATACGTTCGCACGTTATTTAGGTGTTTAACTACCTGTAAGGCATTTGAAGTGTGTACATAAGCCACTGTTTTAAATATCCTTAAAGCAATTTGAGGTAAATTAAACTGGCATTGTTAACTTTAAATTAATTATAAATGCTCTAATTTATAAATAAATAACGATAACATTACATTTCTTTTTGCGCTAGTTCATCAAAGTGTATATGATAAACGTCTCAGTACTTCGTACATTTTGAGCAATGCTTTCGTTTAGCGCAACTCCTTCAAGTGATCATGAAAGTTTTATATATTTATATATTTGTAATTGAAATAACATGTACGATACTTAGCTCATAAATCACTTAGAGCTTTCTATATAAATACACCATATGAGTTTCAAATCATGTCCGGGACCGCTTCAATATCATCTTAGGCTAATGAGCTTTTGCAGCGCTCTGAATACCTTACATTTACCAGCTCTCACAAGAATAACAATAAATTTTGCAAAATATTCTTTTTCTTCCGCAAGCCAGAGCGAAAGATACAGCTGTAATCGTTCTCTAATAACGATGCAAAAAATATGATTCATTTTCATATATTTTCCAGTGTGATGCGATACGGAATCCACTTTAAAAATTTCGATAGAAAAATAAGCTAATTCTCTCTCATTATATCAGCAATGGCAAGCAGTTTTTAATGACTTTCGTCTTTCTAATCAAATGGGCGTAAAAGCTCAAGTTCCATCCAATATTTCACCTATATTCAATTTTAGTCCACTAAATGTGGCAAAAAAATTGATCATAATTCATCAGAAATCAATAACGCGAACAAACAGATGAACACACAAACAGGTATTCTTCTTTATACATACAGATTTTATAAAACTTACAAATTTTTGATTTAACAAACTCTATGATTTGAAAGCGAGCGGCAATACTTTTCGAAATAAAGCATCTTTATCTCCAACGCTCGAGACTGTTGCCAATAGAAAAAATGAAAGAGAAAATTAGTGTTTTCAGAGATTTTTAATTAATATCTCGTCTGATTAAAGTTGTACGAAGATGGGAATAGTCGAAATGGCTTCCCACGAATTTTTGGAATCGGGAATAATGTATTTAATGTTTGGTAATGCTATTTTTATTTATTTGTAAAATTTAGGAATTTTTTATTAACACTCTCCGATTTCAAAACGAGCAGTGGCAACACTTCAAAGCAGATTTTTATCTCCAGCGTTCGAGACTTTTGCCTCGGAAAAATGAGGACTAAAATTAGCGTTTCCAGAATTTTTAATTAATATCTCTGCATTTTTTTCCATTGGAAAAAAAGTGGACGCCAACCTTTTTCAAAACCCAAAAACGAACTGTAGAAAACTTGGTGATGATAGGCTATAGTAATGACTGAATTAATCGCGAACAAACACTGTCATTCTTTTTTATATATACAGATGACATGCATAGACAGCTGTTAATTTCACAGGCGAAGCTTCATTTTTATATTTATTTTGCATAATATTAAAGTATACTTTTTTTTTCAGGTGATAAACCCCATTCATGCAAACATTGTCATAAACGCTTTGCATTAGCGTGCAATCTGAGAGCTCATTTAAAAACTCATGAAGGTGAGTATTTTAAAATTACGTAAAATTTAAAATTATACTAAATTTAATGCTTTGCTGACAGTTGACGTGCACTTATATTCCCTGTAAATACAGATACATGTCATTTGTCCACGATACGGTCAAGTACACTAAGTTGCAATAATCTTAAAGTCAATTAAAGTTTACTTGAATGAAAAAATGAAACATAATTTTCTGCTGCTTTTCATCACGTTCAAAGTATTGAGGAAAACAGTTTAACGATCTATAAATACATGAACAATTTCATAACGAGTAGTTATAAGATCACATAAGACAACTTAATTCTGAGCTATATCACATGGTTCTGTGTTATGTGATATGTAATTAAAATGTTAAATGCTATTAGATCATTTCCTTTGCTTACATACCCATTCAACAGTTCGAAATTTAATAAACTATAATTCGATCATATAAATGAAAATAAAAATTGCTATCGAATAATGATTTCAGTCGAAGTGAATGCGTATTTTATTTGCACTTAAAATAAAAATTCCTTTTCTACTAAATGCAATAGTTTTCGATGAAGAATAGTTCAATTTTTGTATTACTCTATAACGAGATTTTTCAGCTTTCTGTGTTCTAGTGTCATAAATTGTCAGTTAATAAATTAAACTGAAAGAAAAAAAATTAATTTGCTAATTTGTTAGCTTAGTTGTATTGTAATTAAATGAAGTCAAGAATATCAAAATATTGTTGCTGAATTTAACATATTGTTATGACTTTTCTTAGAAGAGCTACTGAATTTGTTTAGAAATTTTAACACACTATCCTAAATTAATCACCATGGAAACTATATACAACATCCTAAAGGAACCATATGTTTTTCAGGATAGACCCTCTATCCTAACGGACCATATGTTTTCTACTATTACCTCCAGTATTAGTTGAAAGCATATATAATGTAAACATTGTTACCGTACCTTATTACTGAACCTAAACTATTTATTTAACTTTATTTTATTTTATTAGACCAAAGGAACTGTAGACACCTAAAGGGCTATTAGTATCAAAACTGCATTTTGCTTCGCTCAGTTTTCTGCGTTGATTCACTTTTCAAACTGTTGCCACCAAATATTATCACCATGTATTATATTTAAAAAAACTAAATAGTGAAGAATCTGCATGAATGCATGATTTTTTCTCGCACTGTGAAGAAACAACGGAAATTTAGAGCCGTCGAATTTTGTATAAAGTAGTCCTCTAACCAAAAATGGGCACTTAAAAGCCCGAATTTTCAATTTCGTATTTTTTTTTTTTTTTTTTATTTATTTATTTATTTTTTTTTTTATTGTACATTTGAAATTTTGTAAAACATTAACGAATTTTTGATTAACAAACTCAATGGCAACCCTGCACGGGGGAAAAAAATAAATAAAAAAAATTTTATCTCCAGTGCGAGACTACGTATCGGAAATTCTAAAGATACGCTGTTTTTAAATATTTTGTGATATTATATTTAATAAATATAGGTAACTCACAAAACGTTGAAAAAATGCGCCCTTTTAAGCGTAGTATAAAATACGATTGTTTTTTTTTTATTTTTTTATTTTTTTAATTTTACAAGTTTCTGCAAGAACTGTTGAAAGAAACATTGGTATAACTCTGGGATAGAGAAGGAGGGGAAGGAAATGCTTAAAACATCCATTTCTGTGTTTCACCTTTTACAAATTTCAGTCAGAAGACCAAAATATAATTGTAATTCTAAAAGTAACCACTTTGCAGATACGAATTTTGTGGATCCCTGTGCAGACACTAGTCATCAGTGTATTCCAGTTATGTTTAACCAAACAGATCCAAACGAGTAACCTTGTAAACTTGTCCTTAATACGTCTGTTCGTTAACTGGCTAGCTACCATGATAAATATGATAAGCGTAGAACGTCATAATTGCGATTCATAATTAAGTGACCAGTTCCGACCATACCAGGATCAAATCTGAATTAAACACTCCGCCTTCCTGCCATGTTATTTTAAATTCTTTCATGAGGTAAATTTAAATATTGCATTATGGCTTCCTGGTGAGATGCAATTCAATAGGACTACCGGCTGATGTTTGATTTCGCGTGCTTCAGTCAAGGCAGTTTCACGCCCTCAGACCTCATTCATTGCTGATGAAAAAGTTCAAGTGCCTAGCTTCTAAAAAAGGAGTAAATAAATCCAGAACTCATGAATGCGTTGAGATTTATTATCGGCATGACCCGGAATTCCACATGACACGAGGAATGGAACAAGAACTTAATGAAAATTTCCAGTGCCAAACTGCCATTGGTTTAATTCATGATCATTTAACTGTAGCATAACAAGCTTTTTCATATATCTTTTCATCACTTTTAAATCAATCACTTATCTTCTTCATGATACATACTTTTGTTGGTCGCTCAAGGTCTAATCTGCGGCAAATATCTGCTTTTAGAAAGGATTAACAGTCTCTTGCAATGCCCAGAGTTTCAGTTATTTAGATATTTGTCGAATATGTAAAAAGATAAAATTGTTGAAAAAAGTTAACTCCAATTAAATTATATTCTCAATTAAAAAAAACTGAAATCTTTCAGATATTAAATAACGCCTGTAAGGATCCTAAGTTTTACTAACGTTTATTTTATTTTAAAACTGTACTATCACTTCTTATTTTCAACTTCCGGCCAGAATTAAATGCTTTAACTTGTTTATGCAAATTGTTTTGCTAATGCCCAAGTACTTAAGTTGTGGCTTTTTGCCAAGAGAAAGAGAGAAGGAGTTTTAGGAAGCAAGCCACTTGCCACTGCAGTTTTACGAGTTTTCACTCGGTTGCTGGTTGCCTTTAAGGCCTAAGGTTTAGCGCTCTTGATATTTGCAAACGTATTGTAGTTTCAGCAGCTCGGCGTACTATAGACATACCCCTTTTTAAATAAAGGCTAGTCTTAGTGCTAGGCATTTGTATACTAATTCAAAGTTAGCTTTTAGTTACACTTTTAGTTAGTAGTTTTATATTCTTACGTTCAGACCACAAGTGGTTCGTCTCTGTATTCCGAAGTTCAAAAGTGCCTGTAAAGTATTAAAAATAAAGGGTTTCGTATACCCTTCCTGCTTGTGTCGTCTGTTATACACAAATCTCGAACATAACTTGAGTAAGCTCCCTGTTCTTATTCAGGTTATACCATATTTCCAAAGCAAATCAAAAGAAACACAAGTCCTGACACGCCTAAAGTGGAGCTCTTTTAACGTATTGTGTGTTACTTTTATTTATTAAATATCATGTTCTTCGCACTTAAACCATAAAATTCGGTTCAACAGCAATATCAGAAAATATTTAAAAAGAGCATATCTTTAGAATTTCCGACACATATTCTCGCGCGCTGCTGATAATCCCTTTCCCCCTCGTACAGTGTTGCCATTGCTCGCTTTGAAATCGTGGAATTTGTTATTAAAAAATTCGTTACAGTTTTACAAAATATGAAACCGATAATAAAACATATTCCAAATTCGAAATTTGAGCTTTTAGATACCCATATTCGAATGAAGGACCACATTATTCGAAATTTGATGTCTCTAGGTACCGCTGTTTTTTCGCAGTGCGAGAAACATACATACATTCATCCAGATTCTTCATTATTTTTCTTTAGATACAATGCAGGGCTGTAATATTTGGTGGCAACAATTTGAAAAGTGATTCAGACTCTTAAAGTGAACCAACGCAAGATGCCAAAAAGAAATCAATAGCCCATTTGCGCTAATTGCCACGTTTGGGCTAAAAACCCAGAAAATTTTGGCAGTTTCCTTCTCGGACAACAGTTTCCTTCTTCTTTTACTATCATTTGTTGTTTAAATAAGCATATGCTGATATAAATATTTAAAAAACTTTTTAGTTATGTAACTGTCACATCGTTTCTTTAATTATTCAAAGTACGGATTTTTTTCAGCTAATTTCTTAATTAGATATTAAAAAGCTTGCACATTGACAGAATAGATTTTAATAAAATTAATTTGCATTGCTTAATATAATGGGACCCCTTTATATCACGCTTGTTTTTTTTTTTAAATTATTCCAGAAATTTGCACTTGCGTAGTCGTCAACAAAGGATTTGCGTGAATTTCATTTTCCCGTCTAGAGTTATTTAGGCAAAAATGACATGTGTATGCAGTATTTTTATAATGTTCCCTCATATTTTCTACTCCAAATGAAGACCTTATTTTTTTTTTCAAACATTTTAACCTCCAGATTTTACATTAATAAGGGTACAATTGACAGGATTTAGATTTAGGTTGTTCCTAACCTTTTAAGTTTTTAAATACGATCTATTACCACACAGTTTCAGTGCTGAAATATACTCTTCGCCATGTATGCCATGTTCGAGAGGCTATTTTTTTCTTGCATTTCTGGTTACAATGAATTCAAGAAATAGAATCATCCGAATCTCTTCGATGCTGCCGTCAGAAACTCGGCGGAAGAACAACTCTCAAACAAATATTATAAAGACTTCCTTATTATATCTTCAGAAATAATAAAAATATTTGTATCAGATAAGACTGCCTCAGATTGGGTTCTTTTCAGATAGAATGCCGGTGATTATCAAGATTTGGAACTTTTAATGACATTCTGATAACGAGAATATCTGTTTCAGTTTGTTTGATTTCTTCCTTGCTTTTATCTTACATTAGTTTCGACCGAAAATTTATCAGTATTCTTTTTCATCTGATAACAATAATATCTGTTTTAGTTGGTTTGATTTTTTTCCTGTGTTTTATCTTCCATTATTTCCCATCGAAAATTTATCAGCATTCTTTGTCATCTGATAACAATAATATCAGTTTTACTTGATTTCTTCCCTGTGTTTTATCTTCTATTATTTTCCATCGAAAATTTATCAACATTCCTTGCCATCTGATAACAAGAATATCTGTTTTAGTTTGTTTGATTTCTTTCCTGTAACCATTATTCCCCATTATCTTCCATTATTTTCCATCGAAACTTTATCAGCATCCCTTGTTATCTGATAACAAGAA